TGATTACATGAATGATCAAACAAAACAGGATGAAAGATTTGTGAGAGAGAATATGTATACTATGTTGATTTGGCGGAAGAGCATGCCAAGGATGGCGACGGTGTAGAGGAGGACAACGAAGACATCGAAATAAGAGCGATGATGCTCGAGTTCCGCTGGGTGTAGTGAATACTAAATTAGGGTTCCACACATTAGTATCACCCCTGGTTTTCCTTATGTCAAATCTGCACTCCATCTTTCTCTAAAAGAGCTTGGGTCGTGGGAAGGAAAAAGCCCCAACAAGAAGCGATGGTCATAATGAATAATACAAAACACCTTTTTGAAGAGATAGCCTTGCATGGAAATACAACAACAAATTCATTGAAATAAATTTAGGAAGCCACTACCAAAAGATAAATACATCTTAATGAAGAATATTTTTCTTACGACAGAAATTTATTAGTGATAAAGGATGCATCCAAACAGGCCCTAACATTATATTTGGATACATACTATAAGCATGTAAAATTTAACAACCAGGCTTAGTTGTAAATCATCTTCTAGACATGACAAAAAAAAAGAAGAAAAAAACAATAACACAATTACATTTCTCATCTCTTTCCATACCTTAGGTGTATTTTCTTAAAACTTATTAAATTGTATTTATTTTGTTTTCATGCAACGGATCACATAGTAATTGGTTCCCAGCACTAACATGATCTCATAAATGGACAGAAGAACATCACTTAACCTTGGTAACATGATCTCATAATAATATGACCAGGGCAGGCAGTTTTCTAATGAATGTCATTGTTTTTCCTCAAAGGTGTCTACCTCTAAACATGGGATTCACATGTCATCTGGATGGCAATACAGAAAATTCATGTTGGCAATACTACATCCTTCTCATATAAGCAAGATTTTTTTTTATATTTATCTCCATTTACTTCTCATAGCAGTAAATTCGGTATTTGAAGCCCCTACAACAGCTGAGTTCAAAAGTTCTAGTACAACTCTCCCCATAAATCATTCATACATTGCTACTGTAACTACATAAGATACTTTTTTTCCATAACAATTTTGTAGTAGTTCTAATATAACTCTGCCCATAAATCATTCATACATTGCTACTCTAACTACATACGATACTTTTTTCCATAAAAATTTTGTAGTAATCAGAAAAAATACAACTAGAATGAATAATCTAAATTTGAACCTTTCATAGATGCCAAGTTTAGACATAACAGATAAGATATAATCTGTATAGAGGAACTTTGAATAATATACCCAAGTCATATAAGGCATCTACACTCTATACCCTAGCAAAAAAAGTCATGAAACTCAAAATATAACCCAAGCACCTGGACTTATCAAAAAGAAAATAAAAAGACAGGGGAACTACAAATCATGATGAATGGAATCAGCTCATTATACAGAATTATCCTATAGGGCTTTAAACCCGTTATTTAAGTGTGATTACCCCATCCACAAAATTCAGACCCATCACATATATTTACGAACAGTTTGAATTGCATACATTGGTTTTCTAACTAAAAAGTTGGATCACAGAACTAGCCCCCTTCCTCATAATGTTTTCCTATAAGCTATTAAAGAACATTTCACAATAAACACGATACTCAAATTCATATAAAGTTATAAACACTTGTCTATAAAAATTATTCCATGAACATGTTGCCTAATAGAGCAACTGCCTTAATGATTAAAGAAAGAGAAATAGTCAATTTTAGGGGAGATCCCTGCCCTTCTGCCCAACAAGTTAAAATTGAAACTTTAAGTGCACATATAGGAAGACAAGTACTAGTCCAAGTTTGATGTCCATTCCAATGCCCCTCTAACATGTCAACTCTGTCTCGAAATCACAGTAATCACAAAGTGTGTTCCTTTACCAGTTTTAAGTGAACCTGAAGGAAAAAATTATGTCCTCCCAACTCCTGATAAAAGATGACTGTACCGCCGGTCAGGAAATTAATGTGACTTGTGAGGTACAACAATTATTAGGAAATAATCGAGTTAGAATGGTAGCTATGAGTGCTACAGATGGTCTGATGAGAGGAATGGAAGTGATGGACAAGGGAGCTCCTCTAAGTATTCCGGTTGGCAAAGCTACTCTTGGACGAATTTTCAACGTTGTTGGAGAATCAGTTGATAATTTAGGTCCTGTAGATACTCGCACATCTCCTATTCATAGATCTGTGCCTGCCTTTATACAGTTAGATACCAAATTATCAATCTTTGAAACAGGTATTAAAGTGGTGGATCTTTTAGCTCCTTGTCGTTGTGGAGGAAAAATCAGGCTATTCGAGGGAGCCAGAGTGGGTAAAACAATACTCATCATGGAATTGATCAATAACATTGCCAAAGCTCACAGAGGTGTATCTGTATTTGGCGGAGCAGGAGAACGTACCCGTGAAGGAAATGATATTTACATGGAAATGAAAGAATCCAGAGTGATTAATGAACAAAATATTGCAGAATCAAAAGTCGCTCTAGTCTATGGTCGGATGAATGAACTGCCGGGAGCCCGGATGAGAGTTGGTTTAACTGCCCTAATAATGGCAGAATATTTTCGTGATGTTAATGAGCAAGACATACTTCTATTTATTGACAATATCTCTCGCTTCGTTCAAGCAGGAGATAGTGATTGTCTGATAATGAGCAAGGAATATTCGTTTTTCTGCTAAACATGATATATTGAACTCAGAATTCATTAGATACTTTTTATGAATGTCAACTAAGTATCGTAAGTAAATTGATCCCGGTTGTCCAATCATTTGATAACCAGAGTCTTCTTTGAGAAAGGATCACTATGAGTCAGACTCCATAGAATTTGATCAATCCTTTTTTTTGTCGTTAAGGTGGAGAACTATAAAAGAAAAACCTTTGCTTTCATGTACAAAGGCCTGAACAAATTAAACTTCTTCTTACTGTCTCCATTCTCTCAATCTATGTATTTGCAACTCATTCATCCCCAGACCTAGAAAGATCATGTGCATGGGTTCTCGACTATTTTTAGCTTTGACATTATTGAGCTGCCAAAGAATTTAAAGGTGTGGAGATTCTTTTCTTTTCTTTTAAGAAATTAATATGGGGAACAGCTCTACCTGGTCATTCTATTCTTTTACCTTTACAATAAGCCTTCATTAAGTAAATTCTCTTAAGTCAAAACTAGCAAAGCTCAGCACACAAGGTCTCATTGGCATTTGCTCATTAGTTGCAAAAAAGTACTTAACAAATGACAGATCAAAGACACCACAAAGAGACATGCCAACCAAAAGACCCAAGTCACTTAAGGATGACTAATATATCAATAGAATGCAACAAGATCATCCAGACCAAATTACTGCTAATTGGTACAGTGCATAACAAAAAAAAAAGTGCCGCTAGAATTACACCCAGTCTATCTAAGCCAATGTTTTAAGGCTTGGAATCACTACGGTCCCAAGCCAAAGTTAGTTGCCTGATTTGGCCAAATCACCATGAGAATATCACGGTAGGATATACGACCCTGTAAGATTCAAGCAGGTCCTCAGGTTTTTGAACCACACTCGGCAAGGTACAAGGTATGAGGGACTTGAGCAAGTCTGAGCCTGAGTCACCAAGTTTTAAAACACTAAATCTAAGCCGAAGTTAAACTTAGCAATACTACTTGATTCACATTAGTGCACATATGGTTTCATACAAAAACGATGCCCCCCTACTTGGGGAAATGCCATATGTACAAATATAGTATACGAAACTATTAACTACCAATCATCATCATCAGAGCCTTAGCATTTGCGATTGGCTACATGAGTCATGTTCCATCATTTTGCTTTCTCAAGGGCTATACCCTCAATAAGATCGTAAGTTCCCATATCTTTTCTCACTACTTCCATCCATGCGCTTTGGGCCTTCCCCTTGCCCTTTTAGAGCCTTCCACTTGAACCAAATCGCACCTCCTAACCGGTGTTGCATTGGATTTGCATGCAGATGGCCCAACCCACCTATGTCTAATTTCCCTCATCTTGTCACCTATTGGAGCTACCCCTAAGTTCCCTCGAATGTATTCATTTCGAATCCTATCCTTTCTAGTCTTGCCACTCATCCATCTCAACATTCCCATCTCTATTATATTCATCCTATTGGTATCGTTGTTTCTTGACTGCCCAACATATTGTCCCATAAAGCAAAGATGGTTTCACAGTTGTCCTATAGAACTTCCCCTTCAGCTTCATTGGTATATGGTAAACACATAAAGCTCCGGTTGCATATCTCCACTCCACCCCCCCAGCTCTAATTCTATGTGTGACATCTTCTTCTATCATTGATCCAAGATATACAAAATACTCTCTTTTAGGTATTTCTTATCCATCAATCTTAACTTCTTCCTCATTTATACTCCTATTAGTACTAAACTTGCAATCTATATATTTTGTTTTAGTCTGGCTAATTTTAAAACCTTTAGATTCTAAAGCATCCCTCTAAAGTTCTAATTTTGCATTAACACCACGTCAAGTCTCATTGATCAAATCTATGTCATCCGCGAACAACATACACCACGCCACCAAAATTGTTAATTCTCAATGTGGACTCCTTTACATGAACTACCTAAAATATTTTCAAGTACTTAATACCAATAATCTTAGAAAGGAGAAATTGAAACAGCAATATAAAACTTGACATGAGATAATGTAAAAAAAAAACCATTTTTGTAAACAAGGACTCAAGCTCGGATCTGCAAGGTCTCCAACCTGAGTAAGCCACTGAATAGGCCAAGGTGGAAATCCAATCCAACCAATTCTCTAGGTATATAACAAAGGGGCACTTGAGGCTCAGGAGACTCAAGTGATCTGGGCATTTACCTCCAGAATCACCAGGCACCTGATCCAGGCCAAATCAGGTGAGAAAGCCCCTAGATGGCCTGGTGATTTTGCTTAATCACTGAATAAAAAAAACTCACTTCAGAGGAAAAATAAATCACTACATCTGAAGAACACATGCAAATAACAGACTCAAATAAATCAAGAAATACTAGATTGTGAAGAAATTCAAGAGGAAAGGAGGGCTCTGGCCTTTGGAAACTTGAAGCATTTCACATCATTTCATATGAATTTGCAATGCATATATTTATCTTCCCAACTAAAAAATATTAAAAAAAATAGGCAATAAAAATCAATTTAACAGATCACACTCCCTGTTGCCATGAATAGATGTTTTCTGCTGCTCCCTGCTATTCCCAATCTTTTTATGGCCTGCTCGATTTATCTCTTTTCTGGTAAACAAATCAGAGTTTACCTTTGCGTTCTTTTTCTTGGTTCTATCACCTGATACATGAGAATTTTTGCATAACAAATGGCCATGAGTTTTTTTATAACCTCCTTTCCTATCTCTCTGGTTCTTCGCTGTAGATTCTTTCAACATCTTCACAATTTTGGGATCACCCAACAACCCCTTAGATTTCATTTCGTTGAGAAAAAACCTGGCATTGTTATGCCATGAATGAGATAACAACCCATGAATTAAAACATTATAATGTGAAGCATCAGGAATCACCCCATACTTTCCCATCTCTTTCCACATTTTTAAAACAATTCCAGGTTCACCCAATCCAAACAATTTCCTAAAAATCAAAAGAAAAGTGTCCGGATTTGGACCACACTCCACTTCTTTCATGCTCCCAATCAATTTCAAGATCCCATCCATATTCTCGACCTCCATGAATGCATGATAAGTTCCAATAGTTGGAATCAGTCCCGTCTCCCTCATGCCGTTTAATGCATGGTAAGCCTCTTCAAGCCTGTGTGCTTCACACAAGGGATATATAAGAGAGTTGTAAGAGGCCACACTTGGCTCCAACTTTGCTTCTCTGATTTTATCGAAAATATTGATAGCTTCTTTCACACAATTTTCTCTCACTAAGACATATATGAGAGAGTTGTAAACAACAAGGCCAGGAACCCAACCCCTCTTCTTCATTTCATCATAAAGTCTCAAAGAATCAAAGAGATTGCCAGCCTTTGAGAAGCATGAGATCATGTGGGTATAAGAAGTAGCATCAGGGGTGACGCATGATTTCGACATCTCTCTCCACACTCTCTTTGCTTCCATTAGATCTCCAATGATATTGCACCACCCATTTAAAACTATATTGAAGCCCTCTGTTTCCAATGGGAAAAATGACTTGTTGAGGTGAATTAACTCTTCTGCTTCCTCCACATTCCTATGCTTGCAAAGAGCACTAAGGAGAGTATGAAACATGGTTGAGTCTGCGCTGATTTTGAAGTTCTCCATTGCATGGAAGGTTTTTATCGCCTTCTGGACATCATTTGCAGCAGCATACCTTTACCGAATTCAAAACTACTCAGAGAAGAATACAAAAAAGAAGCAGCAAAACCAAAGGAAAAGCTCATATGAATTATGGATCCTAAAAGCGCAAGGAAGGAAGCCTCTTACAGTCTTTTTTTTTTTTCTCCTTTGATAAGTAACAAGATGTTGTTAATAAAATCATAGAAACTTACATTACAAGCTCAAGTTCTTATAAATATTAAGTAAAATTTTAGGTGGGGACTGAAGCAACAAAGCAAAAATTCATAAAGGCTATGGTTAACAAATTCAAGAAAGGAACTTTTTGCTACCTTAAAATCACTCAAAACATAAATTTTGGTGGAAATCTCATGTAGAACAAACTAACTAAAAATAAAACATTTTCCCTTGACCCAATTGTTTGAGAGAGAGAGAGAGAGAGAGAGAGAGAGAGAGAGAGAGAGAGAGAGTACGTAC